GTACTACATTAACCAGAATCCTTTGCCTTGGCGTCGAAATTTTGCGAAGAGGTCAAATCAAACCGATAAATGGCAGTCAGTCAGCGCGCGGTGTAGAGTCCGGTAAAGCTGCTCGCAGTTCTTTAATTGAGACGTTTAGTTTCGCCGGTCAGCACTGAGTGCTGCTGGGTGCTGCAGCCACACATCGCCTGTTACAAAACCCAGCCGGTTGTTGCATTACACAACAACACAAGTGATGATAAGCTCACAGTCGCCGTATCCTGTTCTTTATTAGGGTCTTTTAGAAACGAGACACCAGCGAAACCCGGTCTGAGGCAAAGACACTGCTTGGAGCTGTCTCGGCAGGAACCGCTTTGTGCTTCATTGAGCTGACCTGCCGCTAGCTGCTCAGGGTGAGTGTCGTTACACGCCGGTTTAGGTGCACCAACACAAAGCAGGAGACTGTGTAATATTTTAATCAAGTGGCAAACTAGGGAGCTGATATTATTGCGACATGTGGCATGTTATTAAACCCCGATTCTTTTGTCCCCATGACAGAACAGAGAAAACCGACTCATAGTGTGTTAAAATATTGATATTTATTTCATTCAATCATCTTCCGGAAGAGAGAGACCTCTGCACAGCTCTAACGCCAGTTGCAAGAGCTCTAACATTAGAATCATAAACTGTGCTTCATATAGGTTTTATTTTGGTACTTCACACGTCACACAGTCTCAAACATTGCTTATATGGCAAGTTTCTCATTTCAGTGTCTTATCTATTAATATACCTGTGCACTAAAACTTCCTGTTTTTCAGTCTGGCTGAGCACTTAGTTTGTGAGTTAAAAGTGGCCTTGCTCTACAAGCCTTTATTAAAGTACATAAAACAATATAATGAGCAGATACACATTAAAAAATATTTCTCTTATCCCTGACAGTCCCCCTTTTTCATTTCTCACTTGAGGAATGAACTAATTCCTAATTTAGCACATTAAGTTTACTTAAATACAATCCAATTCAATTTTATTTATATAGCGCCAAATCACAACAAAAGTCGCCTCAAGGCTCTTCATAGATACAGAGAAAAACCCAACAATCATATGACCCCCCTCGTGAACAAGCCCTTTGGTGACAGTGGGAAGGAAAAACTCCCTTTTAACAGGAAGAAACCTCCAGCAGAACCAGGCTCAAGGAGGGGCGGGGCCATCTGCTGCAACCGTATTGTTGTTTTTATTTTTAGACAAATCAGATAAACTCAGTGATCTCCAGGTCAGGTGCATCGTGGTGATTGACATATAACTGACATTTACTATTTAAAAACAGTCCCAGTTTCTGTAAATAAAGGACGGCCTGCCCTCTACGTGCAGGTGATGCTTTCAGGATCACTTACAAGATGTTTTTTCCTCTTTTTTGGTGCTTAAGCAGTATCAGCTGAAGTTGAACTGGGGCTAGACTATACTCCTGTTCAGTGCCAGTTTATATCACAACATGTTGCAGTAAGTCGGTATAACCTTATTTAAACAAGTGAATCATTAACATTCATTTCTTTTAAATTGCAACCTGATAAAAGACCTTTTAAGAAATTAAGGGGAGTGCTTAAAAGATCCAAAGTTACACAGTAACACCAATAACTCGACACCCTTTTAATTCTTTAGTTTTAATTCTGCAGATAGG